ATAGATCAAGGTGACTGGAGATGTCGATTGACATTAGATTTGAAGGCAACTGGAGATGTCGATTGACATTACATTTGACATATATATATATATATATATATGTTAAAACTTCTGAAGTTTTGAAAACAGTATTATTTGAAAATAATAGGAGTAGATAGGTTCTCCTATCGTCCAGTCCACACACTTCTCAAGTCTTTGGAACAGAAGTAGAGGCTTATCCCTTGTTTCCTGTTTAGTATTGGGTTTCCGGTACCTTCTAAAGTGTTCTCGTTCTCTTTTACTTCCAGTTGACCCTTGCATTATTGCCTTGCTTGGACAAAAAACAGCAAAAACTTCGTCGATGCTCACATATTCGGTCCTCAACATCCTTCTGTAGAACCATATTTCTGTTGCTTAAAGTCTCTTCTTCGTCTTTGAGAAGATTTTCCACTGCTATACAGTAGGACAAATATCGCGTAACAGAAGCTTTTGCACAATTTTAATATATCAAACATCCACGACATTATAAGTATGGGGGATGTGGATTTCAGTTTCTCCAGCTTTGACCTCAAGGTATGACGATGTTATTAAGATGAGTTGCCTCATTTTTTTATCGGTATCACGCCATGCAAGGCAGTAAAGCCACTAGGACACAAGAGGGTTACAGGGTGTGGAAGAATTAGGAACATAAACATTAATAAGGAGCGGGAAGAAGAAAGAATAATCCGGAGGACAGAAGATAGCGTTTGACATTGTATTTAAATTTTTGCAGATTAAAATTGTCTGGAAAGCGAGGAGCTGAAGGAGAGTTCTACAAGCGAGAAATGCAAAATAAATAAATAAATAAAATTAAAAAAAATGAAACTGTTAGCATAGAATTTACGGTTACATCTAGCCCTCTCAACAGTAAATTGATAAGATCACGACGCAATTCTAGTACTGCGCTTAAGTTAAAAAATAAGTCTAGGTACCATAGCGAAGAGCCTATCCAAATAATTATCATGAAAGTATTTATAGAAAAGACAGAGAGGCAACCTTACGGCAATGGGAAAGTGACTGAAGCCGAGCTGTCAGATCAGTACCAATAATATTGCTGATCCTTCTTTTGATTTTGTCAAGGAGCTCAAGGTAAATAACATTAGTCTAAAATCATTATTGCTGTAAGGAGGGCGCTTGGAAGAAAGATTTATTCTCCCATTTACGTTTCTCCTGTTATAAGCATTGTTATATCAGTGATATTACAGCACCGTAGCTTACGGACAGGACGGAACCGGAAGGACTGAAAGGAAAAAGAAGTCAAAGTTTTCCCTCATCAATTTTGATTTGTCACAGGGAGCATTATCCTGCATAAAAATGAACTTGGTGGGGTCGATTTGCACCCTTTCAGCAGAAGGGAGCAGACAAGACTCTAAAATTCTCTTGTACTGCTCGCTCCTGAGGGTCTTTTCAATAGGTTTTAAGAAACCAGTTCCATGAAAAGAAAAGCATCCTCAGAACATTATACTGAACGGATGCTTGACAGTACTTACTGCTAACTTCAAAGAGCTTTCAAAGTTTCTTCTTCTGTTTTAGATCGCTTATCCTTTGAATTTAGCTCAACTTTCGTTTCATCAGAGAAGAGAACATTTAGTAAAAAATCAGGTGAGTCACTTTTATCGAACAGCACTGTACTTGGGCAAGTCTAGATGAATATAAAAAAATATTAGAATTAGATATCAACCAAATTTACATAAGGTGCTACTATGTAGTTAAAAAAAGTAAAAGCAATGATCCTAATTGGGTTAAAGAGGCGGGCCTTACAACCACGTGTTATACGTCATGGTAGAAGGAGTAGATAAACTACAGGTGGGTAGGTTGCATGGTCTCCTCTGAAGCGCGTCAAAATCAAATACAGCTTAAAGGTGAGAATGACGGCACCCATGTTGAAAAATATCTACATTCAATGCCATAAAAATATATGAAACAGTTTCCTGTCAAAATATATATCAGTCAGTAATATGCCATGCATGATACACGCTTAGGTGAACATGTACCTTTCGATACATGACTGACGAGGCAGCTTTTTTTCCGCAGTAGGTTGCCATTTCTTTCTGCGGTAGACCAGTTGTCATCCATGACTATAGAACCCGGTCTTTCCTGCTATTTACCCAGTAACTGAAGGGGGAGTAGAAGAGGATTCATACCTTTCCCAAGGATATTAGCGATCATATATCTTTTGACTCATGGCTGACGAGGCAGATTTTTTCCCGCAGTCGCTTGCCATTTCTTTCTGCTGTAGACCAGTAGTCATCCAAGACTATAGAACCTGTCTGTCCTGCTATTTACCCAGTAACTGGAGGGGGAGTAGAAGAGGATTCATACGTTTCCCAAGGGTATTAGCGATCATTTATCTTTCGATACATGACTGACGATGTAGATTTTTCTCCCGCAGTAGGTTGCCATTTCTTTTTGCGGTAGACCAGTTGCCATCCAAGGCTATAGGACCCGGTATGTCCTGCTATTTACCCATAGCTGGGGGGAGAAGAAGAGGGTTCATGCCTTTCCAAGGGTATTAGCGATCACGTATCTTTTGACTCATGACTGACGAGGCAGATTTTTTCGCGCAGTAGGTTGCCATTTCTTTCTGCGGTAGAACAGTTGCCATCCAAGTCTATAGAACCTGTCCTGCTATTTACCCAGTAGCTGGGGGGTAGAAGAGGATTCATACCTTTCTCAAGAGTATTAGCGATCATGTATCTTTCGATACATGACTGACGAGGCAGATTTTTCTCCCGCAGTAGGTTGCCATTTCTTTCTGCGGTAGAACAGTAGTCATCAAAGGCTATAGAACCCGGTCTGTCCTGCTATTTACCCATAGCTAGGGGGGAGTAGAAGAGGATTCATGCCTTTCCCAAGATTATTAGCACGTAAGTGAATGTAATAGATTTGATTGGAATTCGAACTCGGTTCCTCAATTCGAGCCGCTATCCATTACTCCACCATGCCTCCTCGTCAATAAATATACAACAGCATAATTACTGTTAATATCCGGCGGTCAAGTAACTACCCAAATGCGTATAACTGAAATTTGTCGCTATTATGCCGAAGAGCAGCATATAAAAATGTGTCCAATACTTGACCTATTTATTAGGTTGGTGCAAAAATAATGACGTAATAATGTCGTTTTTGACGTTAAAAATACGTCAAAGAACGACATTATTACGTCATTATTTTTGCACCAAGCTAATAATAATAGAAAGTGTACACGTGAAAAAAAAAATCACATGTAGAAATACTGAATATGTGACAAAAAGATATACAATCAAAATTAGCACAAAACGATACATAAACCCGCTAGTCAATAAGTCCTGAAAATTTAATTAAAATGCGGCGATTATTTGATTTTTGCAAGAATCTCCAAATTAATGTGTCTGTCACCGCAAAAAGAGAGGCTAAAATTTTCTATGCTAAAAGTTAGTACTTCCACTGACACAAAAAAACAAGTTTTTTAATTAAAATTTCGAATGTTTTAAAAAGGAGTAAAAAATTTAAGTACACATCTAAAAAAAAATACCCCCAGGTCAAGGAAAAACATTCCATGAATCCCTGCAAACGTAGGCTGCGCTTGTCTCAATGGCGAGCATCGATCCCTCTCTCTAGTCCAATGAGAAGGTTCAGCCTTGGAAAGCTGCTCTCCAGGGCTGGGCATCTCAAAGTATGATGTTCCTCAGTTGCGACTCTGTCCTCCGATGGAGTCACAATTGAGCTGCACTCATTCCGAAGACAAAGATGCAATGGAGTGAAGATAAACCCTGCCCGAAATGGAGTGATGTGATGAAGCGGCTGTCGTGACCCACATGACTTATCCCCACTAAATGGAGATAAGCGCCTTCTGGATCTCTACACTACCATTCATTTTAAAAAATAAAACTTCATTATCAGGTTTTATTTAACATAAGCTTCAAAAACTTTTATAAGGTGTACAAGAGAAATGACTCCCACATTTTAAATGTTGACATAAAAGACCAACGTAACTGCTATTAAAAATATTTCACTGTTATTTAAACAAATGGATATAGTTTTTATTCGTTTGTTTTTTAAAGTGATATCCTCCAAATGGTGACCTCTATTCGCCATACAATGTTGTAAATGATTTCTAAAATTTTCTATCACCCGGGGGTTCGAGCGCTTCGAGGTCTTCCAGGTGGCTTTCTTTTAAGCGTTGAATCTGTGGCCTTGAAATTTTCAGCCCATAGCAGTATTGGTTTTCTATCAGGGACAACATCATTCCGATGTAACATGAAATGAACACGAAAAGATCTGTGTTGCAATTAAAGGTTTATCACACTTAAAAAACGTTTCAACAGCAAACGAACGGTGTACATCAGTCCAAGTCATGATAGTAATTGATAGTAACTAAAAGAAATGGTATGATATTTGCTGGATGAAGATACCATTGTCACTTGCCTAGATTTACTATCACCACATCGGTGACAGTTTAAAATGTGGGAAGTATTTCTGCCGCATCCCGTTTAAATCTTACGCGCGAAATGAAAAAGTTTATAGGTCTCAATCGAAAAGATATGTACAATAGTTTATTCTCCAGCACTTCCCGACTCCATGCTTTCCCCGCCAACTTTAATCTGCAAAAATTTAAAATAAATGCTATGTCAATCGCTATCTACTGTTCTCTTGATTACTCTATCACTATTCTCGGCCCCTAGTTGTTGTTTCTGTTTCTAACTCTTCCACATCCAACAATGCCTTGTGTTTCAGTGGCTTTACTGCTTTGCTTGGGGTAAACAAGATTAAAAAACAAAACAGCAAACAAAAAGCCAAAAAAAAAAACGTACTAAAAACCAAAGCAAAAAATGTTTATAGTAGGATTTAAAATTTAAAAAATATTTATTTTTATGGGGGAATCGGATAAAAGACATAGAATTAGGAATCTTTAAAACTTGTTATCTAACTTTGTCCTTTCTTTTAACGTCTGATTTAGCCCTCAGCCCTTATTTTATTACACTCTGCTTGTAAAATAATAGATGCGGCTGATCTACTGCGATGTGGGGTTGGCGGGCGTCAGTCCCATTGCTTTTTATTTTGTGGTGCCAGGCCTGTGACAACGTAAGAAAAAAAAGAGAAAAAAAAGAAGAAAAAAAACGGAAAAGAAAATATTTCTTTGAAATAACTGGAACAAAGAAAACCGTTGTCATGTTGCTTTTGAGCATATAAAGACAAATGGATATCCGCTTCCAAAACCTGGTAAACATTTCGGCTGATGGTTCAAATTCAGATGAAAAAAAATCTATCTAGATTTTTGCAGATTAAAGTTGGCTGGAAAGCATGGAGCTAAAAGAAAGTTCCCCGAGTGAGAAGTGTTAGTAAAGAAACTATTAACATAGAACTTACGGTTACATCTAAAAATGATTATATGCCAGCTACATTTCTAATTGGTATCAACCCCAGTGAGGAAGTACAGCCACTAACACACACATTTTTACAGGATGTGGAAAAATAAGGAATAGAAACATTACTAATGAGCAGGAAGTGGAAAGAGTAATCAGGAGGGCAGCAGATAGAGATTGATATTGCATTTAAATTTTTACTGATTAAAGTTGGCTGGAAAGCATGGAACTAAAAGAGAGTTCCCCAAAGGATCTAGATCAAAACTTTTGGTGCTAAGACAAAAGAATATGTTGGCTGGGATAAGTATAGAGAACTTAAACAGAGGAATACACCTGAGATGTAAAAAAAAAAACAACAAAAAAACAAGTAACTGTGATAGCAAGGTTAACCTGACGCATAGGAGGTTTTTCTTTTAATAGCCATCGTGTAAAAGAAATTGAGCCGATCACGTATCTATTATAGAAGATTTGCATTTAGTCATCGAAGAGTAAGTCACTTAAACAACATGAGATTCCATTGCTAGATCAGCAGTTAAGAAAGTTGGTTCACTGTGTCGCGCTAGACAATTTTTCTCTCTAAAATTTATCTTACATACCTTTAAGTCTACTATACGTCCATGCTTAGAATATTGCTGCCATATATGGTCCGGTACTTTGGTTATTTATCTAGAGCTCGTAGATGAAATCCAAACAAGAATCAGCAATATTAATGGTCCTGGTATGGCATCTTGGCTTCAGTCACTTTCCCACCGCCGTCAGGTTGCCTCCCTTTGACTTTTCTATAAATACTTTCATGGTAATTTTTCGGATGAGTTCTTCGTTATGGTGCCTAGACATTTTGAATTTAAGCGCAGTACTAGACTGACGTGGAGATCTCATCAATTTACAGTCAAGCTGGCAAGATGCAGCCGTAAGTTCTAGGCTAGCAGTTTCACTTTTTTACATTTCTCGCTTGTGGAACTTTTTTTCCTGCTCCATGCTTTCCAGTCAATTTTAATCTTCAAAAATTTAAATGCAATGTCAATCGCTTTCGACTGTCCTCCTGATTACACCTCTTTTTTGTCGCTACTTAGTAAATTTTCTGTTTTCTAATTCTTCCGCGCTTAGTAACACCTTGTGCCTTAATGGCATTACTACCTTGCATGGGTTAAACTCGATTAAAAAATAAGTTGGAAAATGAGTTAAAATCACCGTACAAATACTAATTGATTTCACAGTTGGATCGGACAAAGAAGAACTGGGAGTTGCTCTCGAAAATGACCTCCAGTCAGTGGTTAACTGGGGGAAGGAATGGATTGTAAATTTTAATAGAGAACCTTTTCTGCCTTCCATCAGCATGGCTGATGCTAAACTCCATGAGAGAAACTTTATTTGCCTTTTTGTGCTGGCTCATGTTTTTAGCCGACATGAAGTGGAGTGATTATTTTGAATTAACTGCTAGATATCCCGCTAGGAAAATCGGTTCATGCCAGACAATTTTTCTCGTCAGAATCCATCTTTCACATTTACAAATCTATAATTCTTCCGCTCATTGAATATTGCTGCCAGATCTGGTCTGGTGCTCTTACGATGTCTCGAGATTCTTGACAAAATCCAAAGAAGGGTCTGTAATCATACTGATTCTGGCGTAAATATATTTTATGACAATTATTCTGAGGAGATTTCCTTCTCTGTGCAACGACTGCGTGAATTCAAGCGTACTGCTAGATTAGCAATTAGGTCCCACCGATTTAGTGATGAACCAGATAGATGCAACCGGAAGTTCTACTCTAATAATTTCTTTTGTCACCTGTGTAAATCTCTTTCGGTTTCGTGTTTCTCTGCCACCTGTAATCTTAGAAAAATTTGAATGCAATGTCAATTGCCATTTTATGTCTTCCTGAAACCTGTTCTTTTATTGTTCTTTCAATCTCATTAAAATTTTCTCATTCTCTTTCATTCCTTGCGTTTTAGTGGCATTATCGCCTTGCTTGGAGTGAAATGATTAAAAAAAAAAAAAAGGTTTTAGCGGGGATATAATGCACGTTCGATATGTATTTTCTCAGATGCCCCCAAAGAGAAAATATTTTTAAAAAATCACAGAAAAGGAAAATTTCGTTAGAAACAAAGAAAATAGAACTGAACTATGTAATTATCAATCCTCCTATACGGTAGTGAATGCTGCACAAATTCTGCAGAAATGAAGAAGATAATTTAAGGAATGTGGCTCTACAGAACGATGTTGAGAATAACATGGACAGAGTATGTGAATAAAGAGGAAGTTTAAAGGAAAATGCATACAAAAAGTACACTTTAAACTTAGAATCAGAAAGAGAAAATTGAAATTTCTAGGGTACATAATGAGGAAAAAGGACTTGGAGAATTCGATACTCACAAGATATGCAAGAGGGGCAGAGTGAAACAGGAAGCAGCCTATCTAATGAGCTTGTATAAAAAGATCACAGAGAAGGACCTTGGAGGGATAATAAGGAGGCAAACTTTATTGAGAGATATGAAGGATAGGAAGACGTAGAGAGCCGTGATCGCCCGGGTCCTGGAGGGAGACGGTACATAATAAGAGAATGAATAACAGTGAAATGGTTTTTAGGAAAATTACTTATTCATATGGCTCATCCAAAATAGTTACATAAATTCCACAGCAATCATCACTTAAAAAATAAATTCTGAATATTACTAACCTGTTTAGACGGGATTTCTTAAAAATATTTTCGCAGGACAAAAAAATGTCTATCACGTGACATGTTGTCAGCCACTTCCAAGTGGTTAAAATTTTTCATATCACTCACTTAACTATCGTATGAAGAATCAAATATGGTGCTTCAAAATCAAATGGGCAAGTAGCTAATTCTATAATATATCCAATATAAACTGCCAAAATAACAATTGTAATACAAACCCTATATAATAGATACAATATAAACTGGCTATATACTAATTGTAGTATAAACCCCATATAAAAAAATCCAATATAAACTGCCAATATAGCAATTGTAATATAAACCCCATATAATAGATTGAATATAAACGGGTCATATAATAATTGTAAATAAACCCCATATAATAAATCCAATATAAACTGACCATATAACAATTTTATTATAAACACATCAATATAAACTGCCGATATAACAATTGTAATATAATCCCTTATAATAAATCCAATATAAACTGCCGACATAACAATTGTAATATAATCCCCATATAATAACGCCAATATAAACTGCCCATACAATGAATTAGTATAAATTTCCTATATAACAAATCTAATATAACGTTCAGTCTGATGAACGAAACTACCATACAGTGTTGATATTATATCTCTCTCTCTCTCTCTCTATATATATATATATATATATATATATATATATATATATATATATATATATATATATATATGTACTTGCTTGTCATGTCTTATATGACAAACGAGGGGGTACAAAATAGAAAGTAAGACAGTGAAAAACTATGGCACATAAAAGAAGAAAAAATATTTTCTTATCCGAAATTTTCTCACCGAAAAAATTCCTCACCTGTAATTGGGGGAAAGGCCAATGCTTTAACAAATGAACTATACCTGCAAGTTGCAAGTGTATTCCAGACAATATGGATTTGTTTGTTAAATTGAGGAATTTTTTTTTTTTGTCTTTTTTGGACAGAGAGGGAAAAGAATGAAAGAAAGTCTTGTGACTGATTTCCGGCTACCTTGAGCTCGGTGTCAAATAATAACAGTCGGTGAAAATCGTTCGGTACTTAATTGTCTCCTTCTCACCGAACCTTTCCTTAGCCCTTGACTGTGGCGCAGTGTCTGTGTGAATAAAACACACCGGTTGTCAAATGTCAGATTCGTGAACTTCCTATTGTCGCTAGTAATCTCTTACTCATTTTCGCACACCCTTTGTCCTTAACTCTTGATCCCCTTTCTATCCACCCCCACCCCACCAAATGTCACTCTCCCTTTATCTATATGCTATTCACTCGCTCACCCACATTACGTCGCATTCATATCTATCTAGTGGTTTTCTAAGGGGAGCTTAGATGCGGCACAGGACCGAAAGTATGGGTCACCCCCGTGAGGATCGAACTCACTGCTCAGTCGTAATTGATCTAGCGAGACAATCTTGCTAACCATGACACGACGTCGAGGTGCCCAATTATGGTGGTTTTCCAAGCGTAGCTTAGAAGTGGCACAAGGCTGAATTTATGGGGCACCCAGTTAGGATCGAACTCACTACTCAGTTTTAATTGATCTAGCGAGGCACGTCGAAGTGTCAAAATATAGTAATTTATTAAGCGTCGCTTAGATGTGGCACAAGACTGAATGTATAGAGTATCTATCTATCTATCTATCTATCTGTATCTATATATATCTATATGTCTATGTCTATATCTATCTATCTATCTATCTATCTATCTATCTATCTATCTATCCCCTTGTGCAAATTAATTGAAACAACCGCTTTAGTTTCCTATCTTTAACCATACGGCTAGTTTTAAACCCACTTTCTATTTTTCATTTGCAGTGGTGTTCAGTAATATGAATCTATTTTCGGCGTGTATGATGAAATTTGTTTGGGCTTAAAAATATTGCGTCATCGTTGATTGCATCAGATTTTCATCCTGACATTATTAACAATGCATTTTATAGCAAGACAACCAAACAAATTTTGACATGTAATATCAAAAATCCTGTTTTGTGCTTTTCTACATATTTACCAAGCTTAATTTATTTAGAGGCACAAAGTGGTTCACTATAAAAAGGTCGAAATATTTTACAAGCCCATTAAGTATCGTTCTTCGGTAGGGGCGCTATACTTTTGTCTATTGGTGTATGGATGTGCGGATGGATAGCAACTGGGAATGAGAAATGGGTGAGCTGAGTTCGAATTTCAGTCGAGTTCGTAATATTTCATTTATGCACAAATACCCTTGGGAAAGGTGTGAATCAATCTCTTCTCCTCCCTAGCTATGGATTAAATAGTATAACTGGAAAAAATCATTGTTATTTCCGAAAAATTGTTAACGCAAAATAAAAGAATTATTCTTACAATGCAAAGTATGTTTCGACTTTAGATAACCCACAAAGGGTTGATAAACCGTAAAAAAGCAAATCAACCAACCATTGCTATATAAAAAAAAACAACTTTTTAATGAACTAATCAAATTATTCATCAACCTGATAATATTTACCCAAATGTCTATGGATATTTACAATATATATATATCTCGTCTTTTCTGGACGTAGCCGATCATGACTTTCTACAGATACCTTTTCTTTATTATTTACCAAATATAACTTCTTGGGAAAGATAATGTGGTTGCTTCCAGTTTCTTTCGCCATTGTTTGGAATTCAGGAACGTTCTCGTATCCTGGCTGCTATCCAATGTTAGAGAGCCCAGTTTACTCTTCTACTTAACTCATAGCTGGGATCAGAAGAGATGGATTCATGCGTTTTCCAAGGTCATTAGTGTGAAAGGGATCACTATAGACCAGATTGTATTTGAAGGCGTCTCGCCGATTCTTCTTTCCGGTGGGCCGTTAATCAGTCATTACTCAGTCATTACTCAGTCATTACTTAGTATTCTATCTTTACTCAGTCATTACTTACTCATTACTCTGTCATTACTCAGTCATTACTCAGTCAATTAAAGCCTCTGGTACTTTGCCAAAAAGAGGTAGAAGGCTAATAGGCCAGTAGTTGGAAGGTTCAGACAATTTGCCTTAGACTAGAACTACAGAAGAGGATTTCCAACAAGTAGGAAAGCAAGAATCAGCAAGGCTTTTTTTGTAGAGTTTAGAGGAAACAGGAGACAGTTCAGGAGCAGGTTTCTTAAGAACTATTGCAGGGGTAACCTCAAGTCAACATGATTTATGTGGATCCAGTTTAGAGACGAAAGCAGAATCTATGGACGGTGTTATATGCATATCACTCAGTTCTAAGTGGAAAGTTAAGCAAAGATACTGCAGATGAGTTAAAAGTAGAGTTTGGAGAAAAATTACGAATAAAATATTATGCTTTATTAGCAGATGTTAACACCTCAAATTGAATCAAAAAGGAGGGACAGAAGACTTATTTAGCACACTACGACAGAGCCGCCTGTAATCACGTGAATCAAACTTATTAGAAGCTCTAAGGTCCCTCATTCTATCTGCAAACAAAGAGAATTATTTCGAGCAGACAAAAATAGGCGTCTGTTGTGATCGGAATTATCACGCTGCTACATTCGGAAAAAAGTTACTCCTGTGGGCTATAGCGACTGAAAAAGCCGGTGTCGACCACGGAGATTTCACCTGGTATTTGCGAGAAGGTACAAAAGCATCGACGCCGGCTTTAAACTATGAAGAATCCTCTGTGTGGCACAATTCTCAATAGGAAGGTTAAAAATATCATTCAAAGAGGTGTCTTGAATAAAGTCAAAAAATGAATCCCAAACAGTACACTTTTAATAGAAGAAAGTCTTGTTAATAGGAAGTTCTTTTCTAATAGATGATTAAAAAAAATATATATATATCAATATATACTACAGCATGAGCCTAATTATATGCCGCTTAAATGAAAGATTAAGGAAGGGCTTCTCAGTCCCACTGGTATCTTCTCAGCACCCCATCGTAGTTACTAAATGTCAAGTTTGACACAAGACCATCATATTGGATCAATGAAGAAAGAGAGAGAACGAAATTATAATTCTCTCTTTTTTGTCTGAGTCGCTTTCGTTGCTTTGAATTTCAAATGTGTGTCACGGACTTTTTTCCCTTCAGCAAGTCGAAAGGAATGCGTTGATTAACCTTGTTTGAAAACGGACTTACTTCTGAATCTGGTGGGCAGCAGTTAATTAAAAAGTCTTTTCGCTGTGTAACATAAAGCAAATGACAAGAATAAAAAATTAAAGCCGAAAGATATATTGCAATGTATAATTTGGTTTCAATTTACTGAATCGTTACGGTCAAAATTACTGAATCGTTCTATGTTAACTGTTTTTCTCGTTACTTTTGTCCCCCAATACGATGCTCAAGAACCAAGACTGAGTTATTAAATGAGGTTATTGCATGGACGCACAAAGAAGTAGCAAGAGGTACATATTATATGTAGGATAAGTAGGCTAGACAACGGTTGGCTATCGTCTTGAAGATGTAAAGATTGTAGTGATCGGTGAAGCATCATCTCAGAATAATGCAATCATGGCTCTCCACGACTTTCTATTCTTCATTGCTCTAAACAATGTTCCCTATCTCTTCAAGTCCATATTCGGGCATTCGTTTACACATTTACTTAGGTAGGTTAATTGAGATTTCGCTCTGTCTATATGGCCTTCGGTTTACGGCCACATCAGCGTCGAGCATAGTCAGTACCTAGATAGGTGACAGCTTAGGAATACCAGGTGGCGTAAACTTGGATGTGAAGGTGGTGTAATGGATAACGACTCGGAATTGTTAATCGGAGAGCTGAGTTTCAATTCAAGTTGGCTTCATTATATTTACTTACGCGCAAATACACTTGCGTTAATTAGTAAAACTCGTAGCATTAAAACCATCGTTTACCCTCACCACCACCACAAAAATAAAATTGCGTACAAAATATTTAGACTTAAGCATTAAATGAGGTTGATATACTGCTAAAAAAAAAAAAACAAGTAACCAATCAACCATTTTTTGGCCTTTAATATATCCTGTGAGTATCAAATTCTCTAAGTCTTAATGGATCCCAGAAATTTCAACTATCTCTGATCCTAAGCACAAAACTTTCTCATTGCTCACATATTTTGTCCATGGTACTCTCAGCATCCTTTTGTAGAGCCACATATTTGTTGTCTCTGGTCTCTTCTTCATACATGAAGAAATTTCTCAGTATTCACTGCCATATAGAAAGATTGTTATTACATAGAAACTCAACACTTTTTCTTTGATTCTAATGAAAATTTCCTGTTTCTTAATACTTTATTTGGTTTTTTGAAAGCATCTTCCAATATTGATATAGCCTACGGATTTCGGTGTCACAATTCCTATCGTTTTAAATGTAATTGAAATTTTGAGTATATTAGAATAACGACAAAATTCCTTCCACTTTTCTTGTAAACTTCTTTTTTCTTTCTTTTTCCTTCCTTCCTGCCTTTCTTCCTTTTTCTACATTTCTATCTATCTATCTATCTATCTATCTATCTATCTATCTAAATTCTCCATATATTTCTATCTATCTATCTATCTATCTATCTATCTATCTATCTATCTATCTATCTATCTTCGTATCTATCTATCTTCGTATCTATCTATCTATCTATCTATCTATCTATCTAGATCTCTTCGTATCTTTCTTTCTTTTTCTTTCTTTCTTTTTTTTTTTTTGTTTCTTTCACCTACCACATAAGATTCTTTAGCTGTTTACAGGTTTTCTGCTTCAAAGTCTAGTGATATCATAGTTGTCCTGACGAATGCCAAACATATTTAAATGGAACTATTATCTCTAAGTGACAAGGTAAAGCGATGAATCGGCATTTCAAGTGGGCAGATCACCCAGTTCTTCACTCAATTAAAATTTTTGTTTCAAGGACTCTGGGCCAAGGTCAGAGAGATGAGTGGCTTCTGGACCCTGTGATGAGGCATGTCAACATATTTAAGTGTAAAACCAGAATTTCTAATTAGTTGAAAGTGTAGGAAGATGAAAAATTTATTTTACGCAACGATTTAACGAATTGTACCCGAATAGCCTTGAGAAGTAATGAGACATTCTGTCTGTTTGTCTCTCTTTCTTTGTGTCTGTCTGTCTGTCTCTCTCCCCCCCTCTCTCTCTCTCTATATATATATTTTTTTTCTTCGCTAATTAAACTAATTTGTATATGAGATGTTGAAAAGTTCCCAAGCTGATACATTCCCATAGTTTTTTTTTTTAAAGGTTTATGGATGGGTCGAAAAATACTCAGCACATCATCGCATATTCTATGTCTGACTTATAACATTGGTATTACGATATCACTAAATCAACTATTCTTTCTTTTTTTATTTCTTTCTTTCCATTTCTTTACTTTCTTTTTTTTTCTCTTTACAGTGAAACACAGGAAGTCACCGAGAAATTCAAAATGGCTGTGTTAGAAAGAATACAGTTTCACTATTTTCTTTGACATTTTATAACGAGCATTGTACCTCTTCTTTCAATAATAGCATTCTTCTTTTTATTTATTTTTGTTTACTTATTTATTTACCTATCAAGCTAGTTGAGTTGATGATATTAATTTTGACCGTGGTGATGATTTTTTTTCGGTGGGTTTAATTTAAATAAATCGCATATGCTTTATTTAACCCCAAATATAAATGCCTTTTGTCACACATTATATTTTCTTTCTTATTAATCTTCCATGAAAAAAAAATCATGCATAAACATAACATATGTATTTTTTAAATATAAAAAAATTATAAGATTATACTGAAAATTAAAAAATTGTTGTGTAAAATACCCCTTTCATCTTTCAGCCACAGGCTTATCTATCTATCTATCTATCTATCTATCTATCTATCTTTTGATGTTCGTTTACACAAAAAGACACACACACACACACACACACACACACACACACACACACACACACACACACACATATATATATATGATTTTGTAAGTGCGTTCATATTCCTTTTTTGATTTTGTAAATGTGTTCATTTTTCCTATCTGATTTTGTAAATGTCTTTACATTCCCTTCCTGATTTTGTAAATGTCTTTACATTCCCTTCCTGATTTTCTAAACGTGTTCATATTCCGTTCCTGATTTTCTAAACGTGTTCATATTCCGTTCCTGATTTTCTAAACGTGTTCTTATTCCGTTCCTGATTTTCTAAACGTGTTCATATTCCGTTCCTGATTTTCTAAATGTGTTCATATTCCGTTCCTGATTTTCTAAACATGTTCATATTCCGTTCCTGATTTTCTAAACGTGTTCATATTCCGTTCCTGATTTTCTAAACGTGTTCATATTCCGTTCCTGATTTTCTAAACATGTTCATATTCCCTTCCTGATTTTCTAAATGTGTTCATATTCCATTTCTGATTTTGTTCAGCTGTATGAGTGAGAATCTATTTAGGAACGCTTTCAGCCTTTATGTATATCTCAACCTTGATGTAACCAATCATAAATAAACTCGCTGCGCATGCGTAAACACACGTTATTCCTTAAGGTTACTTGTTAGGTGGTAAGACGCCATCGGGTAAAAATGTGTATTACTTTATCGCCGCATCCATAATGACGAAGAGATTATACCTCTCGTGCAGAGTTATTTTTAAGAACTTCACCCAGGTCTGTGAGCTCCTTTCTACAGTCCATATTATGGTCAATGCGACTTTTAGCTATCGGCGTTAAAATGGTGGACATGTCAGACTGAATGAGATCAAGAAGAAAGCGACAAGGCTGCTGATGAAGAGGTCTATTAAAAAGTGGAAGGGACTTTGGGATAAGCGTGTGAGGGACCGACGAGAGTGCTTTGAAGTAAATTAAAACCTTTTTTTTTTCTTGATCGTCTATTTTTCATTGGTATTTAATATTTTTCAGGCCAACCATCCATAGTAATCTGTCTGACTCATAGGTGAAAAAAAGACCCAGTTTAATAAAATTCTAATCAAATTACACTCTCGCTTTTTCATTCAAAAATATAAATAAAACTGAAAATACATAGGAACACGCTTAAAATTGTAGGATTAACCCCTTGACAAAAATTACAGACGACATGATATTTGAAAGTCTCGCTTTTTCACGTTCGATCACGAGAATGACAACACGTGACTTCTTCTACAATGAACTTCTTTTCTTTCCTTTTCTGTAAGTTCTATTAATACCGTTATTGATTGTTGTTCGTTTTGCTATTTTCTTTAACGCACATGACGGTGCATCTCGAGATCCTTGACAAAATCCAGAGAAGGGTCTGCAATACAATCGGTCCTGACCTGGCATCTCGTCTCCAGTCACTTTCTCACCGACGTGATGTAGTTTCCCTCTGTATGGTCTATAAATATTTTCATGGCAAATGCTAGGATGAGCTTTTTACTCTGGTGTTCCGATTACATGAATTTAAGCGTGCTACTAGACTGGCAACTAGGTTTTACTAGACGCAAATCCCACTTCTACTCTAACAGTTATTTCTCGCACTTCCTACCTGTGGTACTCCCTTCCCATTTCTTGTTTCCCTGATAACTTGTAACCTAGAAAGGGTTATTGAAAAAGAAATAACAAAAAAGGGGGTTGGAATTGAAATTGTAATCTTTATAAAATCAACAAAATACAATACTCGCCAGCGGCGTGAAGTAAGTAATCCACTACCAGTGGTAGACTACTTAGACAGCATATTACGATATTTACTTGCCTCCTTACGAGATAGGATGTGGCGCAAGGCCAAATTTTATGTGGGGAAATCCGAGCCAGTGGGCTCGGGCAAAAATTGCCTGTAGACCCCACATACGCGGGATCGGGTATCTGTCTACCTCCCCGGACGAGACTTTGCCCTTTGACATAGCCTCATCCGGGTTCCTCTCTGTCCGAAGGCAGTGCGTTTGACACGACGAGAGCTTCCCACGCTGACATCTCACGCTGCCAGCTTAGACAGCATATTACCCCCACTTACAATAGTGTCTAACGTATTAATGAGGATTAGGACATACCCATTAGTGTTCATAGGTACGGTATATAACATAAGTACAATCTTCAAAAAATTAAATGCAACGTCAACAGCCATCTTCTGTTTTCTTGAACCGTGTACCTTTTTTGTCTTTTCCTCAATCCTCCCGATTCCTAGTTTTCTTTCACTTTCACTCTCAGCAACCCCTTGCGTCTTAGTGGCATTGTCGCCTTGCTTGGGATAAAATTATTTAAAAAATGGTCTACAAGTAAAAGCAGGAGTCGTAAAAATGATATTTCATTCAATCTCGCAATATTATTTCAAATATTACCATCAATATTCCGAAAGATGGTGACCTATAACCTCTTTTAGACCGGATAAGAATTACAAGAGAGTTCTTGAAATTCCAGTGACAGCTCGATTAGTTTAGACAGTTAAAGAATTTACGACTGAACATTTGGTTTTATAAAGTTTCTTATTTAAGCCGTTTTCTGACAGTTGACTGCTTTTCGTTGCGCCCATATCACGTCGAAACACCAGTTCACGTACACTCACCGAAGATAGCCAACGCCAAACCTGGAGTGTAACTAGATGGGGGACTGCTTGGGAATACCAGATACTGTAAGCATGGATGCTCGGTGGTGCAATGGATAACTGTTCAGTATTAGAAATCGGAGGGCCGAGTTCCAACTCCGGTCGGGTCCGTTACATTAACTTACGCGCAAACACCCTTGGGAAAAAAATGAATCCAGCTATGGGTTAATTAGTAGGACTTGTATCAGTAAATCATTATTATCTCAAATAAATCTTTACAATCTAAAAATATTTTCTGGTTTTGAATATCCTGCAAAAGCTTGATAAACCGTAAAATAAAAAATCAATCAATCTGGTTGCGCGTATAAAAGTTGACCGTTCCATAGACTGGCTGCCAAAGAAGCCAGTGTGTCCTGCTATTTATCCATAGCTGGGGAAAGAAGAGATAGATTCATAAATTTTTCATGGGTATTGCGTCCAAGTGAATTTAACGAACTCTACTGGAATTCGAACTTGGTTCTCTGATTTCCCACTCTGTGTCGCTATCGATTACACTACTCGCACATCCTCAACTATCCAAATTTTGTGATAACCGTCATTTTTCTCCAGGCTAACCATATGCAGGGTGTGGCAGAAATACCCTCCCACCACCTAAACGTCCGAGAAATAGCTCCCACATAATGTTGACATGTCCTAGATGAAGACACCATTGGCAATGTTTTACCATTTTGTGGGTATTATTTCTGAAGGTAATCTTTATAACATCAACAAAATACAATACTCGCCAGCGGCGTGAAGTAGGTAATCCACTACCAGTGGTGGACTACTTAGACAGCATATTACGATATTTACCTGCCTCCCCACGAGATAGGATATGGCTCAAGGCCCAATTTAATGTGGGGAAATCCGAGCCAGTGGGCTCGGGCAAAATTGTCTGCAGACCCCACATACGCGGGATCGGGTATCTGTCTACCCCCGGACGAGACTTTGCCCTTTGACATAGCCTCATCCGGGTTCCTCTCTGTCCGAAGGCAGAGCGTTTGACACGACAAGAGCTTCCCACGCTGACATCTCACGCTGCCAGCTTAGACAGCATATTACCCCCACTTACAATAGTGTCTAACGAATTAATGAGGATTAGGACATACCCATTAGTGTTCATAGGTACGGCATATAACATAAGCACAATCTTCAAAAAATTAAATGCAACGTCAACAGCCATCTTCTGTTTTCTTGAACCGTGTACCTTTTTTGTTAGTCATATAAAGTAAAAGTGGTTATTTTCTAATCTACAACACTTTTCGTCGAAAGATTCCCGCTACTCAATCGCTATTTCCATGGAAAATGTTCTAACGAGCTACATTCATTATTTCCACCAGTTTAGACCTGTGTTGTTCTTGTCCTAAGTATTATCGTTCACTACCAACCTTCGTTTGATTATTCTATTCAGTAACCTTCTCTAGGTTACAATAGTAAGAAGGAAGTTCACTTTGGACAGCTTCACCCCAAGAATCACTGCTTTGTGTGTAACAGACTCCCGAGAAGATGCTTTCCCGATTACAATAATCTTAACCTCTTCAAGTCTAGGGTGAGCCCTTGTTTTTATCATATAGCCTCTGCTGGGCCTTGTATAGGGTTAACAACGGTAAAAGAAACTTATAATGTAAGAGACCTATTATGTTTGTTTCACACATTTAATGAATTAAGCAAGTCTAGAGTTAACTCTCACATTTCCTACAAGTGCTCATGATAAATTCATATCTCCTTATGTTCATACTATAACCTCATTCAGTTAACGTCTACCTTGAGTAACTCTTGCATTGTTGAAGAATTATTTTTAAAAAACGTAGACGTTTCCAAGAGATTTGATTGTTTTGATAACATCTAGAATAAATCCGTGAAATGTAGAAGAAAATAAAAGTTAAATAAAACAAAAAAAAAAAAAACCGCAACTATTCGAAACTATAACAAACACAGTGCAGTGTTTGGATTGGGTAGAACTCCATTATACCAGGTTGAGAAAAGTCAACAAAGATCTGACCTTCATTTCAAGTTCAAATTTCGCTGCATCGTGCAAAATGTTATTTTCTTAGTTTCCTGTTCTTTAAACTTTGACAGGAAAAGAAAACCATAGCAATTACCCCGGAAGAAAAAAAAATCAAAACTTTCAACCCCAAAACTTTAATTCAATATTACCTTTAAATTGTTTGCACATTTGGCTCCTCGTTCAAAACGAGGCTTGAAATGTCTTCTTTTTTGCGGTTTGTGTTTGTGAGAAACAAATATTCTACTAGAATAAAATTTAGTTTGATTACTTTGCCTTAAACTTTGTGTTTATTATTTTGGCTCAGTAGTTAGAATAAAGGACTGACACACGGAAAGTCTCAAATTCTACTTCTGATGATTTGTGTGGGGACATTTTTTATTTTATTTGTATTTTTAGTAATGTTCAGTTTTCTACTTATGTTAATCAGTGACGAAAATTTGTGACAAATATTAAGTTTCGTTATTTTAAAGCTTTTATAGGTTTTGTTAGAATCACAGAATTATTTAAGGATCAACCACAAATGCAAAATTACTGGAAATTGTCATTGTTTCATTTCAATAATGCATAGTATTCATGTGATCTGAATAAGAATTATTATTATTATTTGATATCGTTGGAGTTGTTAATTTTTGCTGCCTGATTTATTTGGGTTGATGTTACGATTGGTTAAATTAATACTAAAAACATTATTAATCATATGGAGATATTTTTTATCTGTACACATAAGCTCGAGCCACCTTCACATAAACCAACACTATATATATATATATATATATATATATATATATATATATATATATATATAATGTGTCAATGTTTCATTGAATAATTTAAACAAGTTTTGTTTACTTATTTTCAATTGGATCCTTTCATATTCACGGACTAGCTTTTTGGTGTCATTATTAAAGGAAGAGAGAAATTTGCGTGTTTATACATATTATTTTATTCCGAGTACTTTCGACATTAACACAATGTCATCATCAGGATGTCGTTTATTTCAAGTCAAATATTGTAGTGTTCATCATTTCCTAAGACAAAATTGCTGTGTTCGTCTGAAAGTTTAATTTATTTTTTACAACTGAAGTGAAAAACCTTTGAGGTGATGTGGTGTACTATGTAGCTTAGTGTAAATCGTAGGAAAGGTAAGTTATGGGTTTGTCAAGATTTTTTTTTAAGGTGTTAACATTATTAGTGCAAAACCATCTACTGTAAGCACTTGAAACATTTGTGCAATATTCATAATTAATTTTTATTAACGTTTAGTTTTAATTTTTTTTTTAAATTTTAGCTTCAAGAATTTTCTTGTTTATGTTTATTAATTTCACAAAAAGTTTAGAGGTATTTTCAACAAGAATTTTTCAATAAAATATGTCTCAGTGAAATCATGTTGCCAAAATATGCGCATATATATATATATATATATATATATATATATAAAAGATGCTGCTTAGATGTCAAAAATTGTTAAGTTAATGGTAAATATTTGAGCTGAGAGCAAATATTTTTCTAAGAAGATTTCTCGAATATTCAGACCGCTAGATAATAATAAATAAATATACTGTTTAATAAGTAAACATAGCAACTCAACTATGATCATCCCCTAAAAATAACGCTTATGTAAGAATGTGTATATATATATATATAACCAAGTATATAATTGGTGTATGCGGAATGAATTCCAATAACCAACAATTATTATTCTTAAAAGAGTGCTCAATACAAAGTAGAACAGATATAATTATTTATTTAAAAAAAAATTATGACATAAATATGTTATAAAATCACTACAAAAATATCCATTTTGTTTGTGGATCAAAGAGGATTGATACAGGCGAGAGATCTAGCAAGGTGGTTGCACCCGGCTGTCGGATGCTTAGTCTGTCAATGTCCGCCTTGGTTACGTCAGCCCGACTGTAACAGTGGCTCAACGTTGTTATGTTGAAAAATCATTTTGTCTTGTGCCTGCTTTTTCTTCGATGATTGGCTCAAACGCATCAATTGTAGGCGATAGCGATCTCTCGTGATGATTTCAGTCGGTTTGAGCATCTCGTAATAAACTACACCCAGCTGATCCCACCAAATGCAGAGCAGAGGCTTCGAATTATGGATATTCAGCTTTCCCGCCGATGTTGATGCATAACCGGGCTTACCCCATGATCTTCTATTCTTAGGGTTATCGTAGTGTATCCACTTTTCATCGACGATCACGATACGATACAACCCCCCCGCAAAAAAAAACTTTCCTTTTCTGCCGCTGAAGCAGCTGTTCACACGTGAAAAGACGCCGGTCGACGTCTCTCGGTTCAACTCATATGGCACCCAATGTCCTTTCTTATGAATCATTCCTAATGCTTTCAAAAGTTTCGAAATTGCTGTGTGATCAACACCTAATGATTCTGCAAGTTCAGCTTGCTCCTGACAAGAATCTTCATGAAATAATGCCTCCAATTCTCCAAACTTTTTCGGTGCGTCAGAGCGTTCTTTTTCTTCAACATCAAAATCATTATTTTTGAAGCGTCTAAACCAATCTCTGCATGTTGTTTCCGACAGATCATGGCCGCCGTAAGTCTCGACAAGAATTCTGTGTGCTTCAGCTGCAGATTTCTTTTGAATAAAGTAGTGCAATAAAATCCCCGCAAATATACTTTCTTTGACACGAAATCCAACATGTTTAACTCTATGAAAAACAAAGTTGTTTACACTTCGGCGAAATGACATACACTGAATTTCAAGCTTGCTTATAGTATTTCTTTATAGATGCGTTACCATCTGAAACTATAGGCACGCAGAACTGGGAACGCCATCTGTTGGAAGACAGCGAGAACTTATTCAAGGTCCTAATATATCTCAAATATTTATTTTTTTAGCGACAACAATACTAGAAAATGTTCTCATATATTTAATGATAATTTTATACGTCTGAAGGACTGAGTTACTAATTATAGAAAGTATTTTATAGCATTTGTATCATAAATTTTACAAGTCAATTTCCTTTCTTATTACGGAATCCAGTTTGAAAACAATGAATGGCTATATGAAGATATGTTCGATTTTCGAATGGCAAGATGCAAAAAATAAAAGAGAACTTTTTTCAGAGGTTTGACAATCTTTTAATTGGATAATGGGAATGTTTAAAATTCGAAGTGTCTGTAAAGTAATTGCATTTATTGCATGGCGTCAAGCAAAGATGGACGACAAAAAGAAAAAAAAACTCAAAAAACACGTGAAATAGTGACTAATTTTAACTTAGACACTTTTTCTAATTTCGTTAGTTCCGCCTAATTTCGTCCAATCACGTTGACTGATTTATTTCACAAATAGTCAAACTAACTTTCTTTACCACCAATCAAATCAGATCAGCTTCTATTACTAAAAATATGTTACTTACAACCAAAAAATAATAGCAGTAAAAAAAAAAAAATCTCCTAACCATTAAGTAAACTATATTAAGGCTTGGGTTATTCATATTCTGAATAATCGTGTCTCTTAAAATAATATCTGGAATAACGGAGTTGTAAAATCATAAGCACTAATCCGGGTACTTCGACGTGGTGTACTGATTTACAAGCTGAGTAGTGAGTTCAATCCTCACTGGGTGCTAATACTTTCGGCCTTGTACTACATCTAAGCAATGCTTAGTCCCTGCGCTTCGACGTCGTGTAATGGTTAGCAAGTTGGTCTCGCGTGATCAATTACGACTGGGTAGTGAGTTCGATCCTCACTGTGTGTCGCATGCTTTCGCATAGAAAATCGCTATAAGCATTAACTTTAATATTAGTAGTTTTGACTTTTGGAACCAATTCTTGTTGCTATTTTATTTACTAGCGCTACTAAATTATCGTAAATTTTTGCATCTCAAGAGCAAAAAAAAAGCCGTGGTTGGTAATAAAGTTACAGGAAAAAGAGTTACAGAAAAAAGTCACAGTTTTTTTTTTTTTTTTAGGAAAAAAAATCACAATTAATTTATAGCGGCACGGGTTTACGGCCATATCACGTTGAAACACCGGTTCCCGTATGATCACTGAAGTTAAGCAAGCTCGAGCCTGGTCAGTAATTAGATGGGTGACTGCTTGGGAATACCAAGTGCTGTCAGCTTGGATGTGCGAGTGGGGTAATGGCACGGGCTTTTTAATCGAAGAGCCGAGTTCCAATTCCAATATATATATATTTTAAGTAATTCATTAATTTCTATCATGTACATCATTGTTTGAACCGGTTTCTAATGCTCTAGAGTAAGCTGCTTGGTGAAAGTAGTCGTGGCTCCAGGGGGCACAGTCCTATGGTTACAGAGAACTCAATAAGAGTTCCACCACAGAATATGTGAGCGAGCGGCGCTATATTGAGTCTGATTTGCAATCTCTTCGTCACCGAGACCCATTGGAACAGTTGGTATGATGTTTGCTTGACAACCTAACTGTCAGGGTTTCAATTCTCGGTAGTGGATGCGCATTGCTGATGAGTCCCAAATATAGGACAAAACGGCCGTCCAGTGCTTTCTGCATTCTGTTGAGATTTCTTTCAGACTCGATGAATTACTTAAAATATAATTATCAAATCATCCTAAAAATTTATATATATAGAGAGACTATTTCTATAAAGTAATATTTTTCTTCATCTAAAATTTTGCTATGAATTCGATTAGTCGTGTATTTTGTTAAAAAAAAAAAAGAGACATTATGATGTATTTAGGTTCTTATTTTGGGTCGCACGCGTGACAATAAATAATACTTATAAAATATTACTCATTCTCCATGAACACAACGTATGCCACTGTCAGATTTTGCATCGTTAAAATCAATGATGAAGGAAAGTTCGTTCGACTTTAGAATTCTGATCGAAAGAATCCATACATAATGTTTTCGGTGAATGCTAATCATGGCACAGGTAATAATGGCACGGTAAAATGGCATAAGATTCTAGTTATTAAATTCTGTTTTTAAAGGTTGACATAAAATAGTGTACTCATTTCTAAACATATTTGACTTTATTTTAAAACAATAAAAGTGAGATGCGAACCCAAGTTGGAAAGAGAATGTTCTGACCAAGCACAAATAGAAGCGTTCTCGAATACAATGGGATAGATATGAAATAAAAAGACAGATGCCTAGACTGATAAACAAACGTCGATTTTCTAAGCTTAACTCTAGTACAAGTCCCAAAGTATGGTGAACCCAGTGAGAATCGAACTCATTACTCAGTTTTAATTATTCTAGCGAGACAAGTTTCGAGTGGCCAAAAATTGATAAACGTATAACTCTGATACTACGTCGAGGTATCCATATGGCGATTTTCTAAATGGAGCTTAGAGATGTGGCAAAGGTATGGCGCACTTAGTGAGGATCGTACTCACTATTCAGTCGTAATTGATTTAGCGAGACAAGCTTTCTACCCATTACACCACGTCTAGCTCCCAACTATTGATAAACGTATAACTCTACCACGTCGAGGTGTCCATATGACGATTTTCTAAATGGAGCTCAGAGATGTGACAAAAGGTCGAATGTATGGCGCACTTAGTGAGGATCGAACTCACTCGTAATTAATTTAGCGAGACAAGCTTTCTAACCATTACACCACGTCGAGTGCCCAAAGATTGATAACTCTAATTAAAGAGATGGCACATGTAAGATAAAAATATGGTTTTTAGAGCTTCGTTTCAATATTTCTAACTTCCTTTGATTTTCAGGTGAAATTAGCGTGGTACTTTTGATGTGAAAATTACTCTTTTTTTTATTTTCAATCAAGCCGACGTATCTTTCAACATCTTTTCTCGAAAAAAAAAAATGGAAAAAGGAAAGTCAAAAGACGATAAGAAGAAAGCCGATTAAATCCAGTCAAAAGAACTCATGAAAGAAAAATACTTTATATTCTGCGCGCCAACCAAAACCTTGTTGATATTAGTATGTCGTCTCTTCGTCCACTTCCGGTTGTATACTTAAAACAAAATAAACGCTGATAAAACGAATATGGAAAGACGCTCAGAGGTACAAGTGCTGCTGGTTTAGATTACAGATCCCCGCCGTGAAAGGTAAATGTTAGGACTTGTTCTCATATCCGTGAGGAGTGATGCGAGTCGAGTTGGATTTTTGTCAGTTCTTTTTTTCTTTTCTTTTTTTTATATATTCTGTTGTCAAGAACACATTCTTTTGGAAGACAATGAAAAAGAAATCGCGTTGAAGAAAAAGAAGTGTTGGAAGGGAAAAATGTGGTGCAAGAAAGAAATGAACTAAAAAAAAAAAATGGGAAAAAGAAAAAGACATAGGCAAGCAAAAATTTAATTTAAAAAAAATAAAAAAAAGAAGCGAAAAGAATGAAAAGAAAGAAAACAAAGAATGTATTCACAAGAAAAAAGAAAAGAAAGAAAGAAAAAGACTAAGAAAAGAAAAAAAAATACAAAGAAAAAAAGAAAACCTAAGGAAGGAAATAAGATATAAGAAGGAAATACGTAGAATATAAAAAAAACAAATATTGAAACTATAAGTGTTAAAGCGAAAAAATAGATGGGTAAGTTAAAAAGTTCGTAGGCTAATTATGAAAAAGTATTTATTTTACGCAACAGTCTGACTATTACATTAATTTTATTGTTTAAAAACAGTTGTGCCTACTTAAACACGTATGCCCATTTAAATATAGCATTTACAATGCTGGGTTTTCTTTCAGATAAACAATATGGCTTTCGCCGTTCTGAGCCAACTGCTGATTATTGCTGAAAGAATATATCATGCTTTAGTTAACAATGGTCAATCTTGGGCTGTTGCATTGAACATCTCGAAAGTATTTGACAGGATTTGGCAAGCCGTTCTTTTTCACAAGTTGAAAAGTTATGGTTTTTCTGAACGGATCTTTTAACTGATTCAGTCTTTCTTATCAAACCGTGGAATGAAAATTGCCCTTAACGGCCACTCTTCTAGATCTTTCTGCATTAATGTAGGTGTTCTCCAGGGCTCTATCCTTGGATTTCCGTTGTTCCTAATTTTTATTAATGACTTTCCTGCTGGCATCACTTCTCAACTTGGTATCAATGCTGATGATACAAATATTTGATCCTGTCTTAGTAATTTTGATCAGTTCGATAATGTCAAGCATCTGTTCTAAAAAATGACCTTCAATCTGCTGTTAATTGGGACAAGCAATGGCTTGTTAAATTTAACGCATCCAAATAAAACTGCTCTTTATCTTTTATCTGAGACATCACTTTCTGCCGTCCATCATCATGGCTGATTCTAACTACCATGACCGTGACTTCTCGGGCTAACATTTATCGCTGATATGAAATGGAAAGATTATATTGAATCAATTGCTTTGATTCATACTAAACACGGATAAGAAATTATTTCGCCATGAGAGAGAGAGAGAGAGAGAGAGAGAGAGAGAGAGAGAGAGAGAGAGATGAAAAGTAATAATTATGGGAGGGTTGAAGAAGGAAAAAAAAGGCATAAAAGAGATGACAAACAATACTGATATGGATTTCAGTTTCGCTTTCATGTGTACCGCCAACTCGTAACACGTTGTTCTGAGGAATCGGTTATTCAGTCAATGGGGAGTAAATTCGATACGCACTCGCCATATTGTAACTGACTTGGAGTTATCAAAATAAATTTACACTATCATTCACAGTGTAATCCACCGCTTATTACTGGTGTGAAAGCATAATCAAATAATAATAATAATAATAAACTAGGATCATCACTATTGTGATAGGGGTATGATAAAGAAGGGTGCCGAAAATCATGGAATTAAATTTCTAGGCATATCAGCATCTTAGAGTTACAAATGATTACTTTGTGCGGAACTTCACATATCATCCACAAAAATTTCCCCATCTAAACGAAACGTCTCATATATAACTAGCATCTTTTTTTACTCATAATCCCCGAAGCGACTTCGTAATTAGGCATTTAAAATTACTGTTTCGCAAGATGATACCACAAATACTACTACTACTACTAATAATAATAATAATGCCCAGACATCTTTACCAAAAGCCACAAAGACAGAATGTGCTCTCATATCAGCATGGCAGTCCCTTCAGATTTTAATTTATCTTTGAAGATCTTCAAAAAACTATCAAAATACAAGGATCACGAAGTGGAAATCTAAAAATTGTGGCACATGAGGACCTCAATAATTTCAGTTGTAGTTGGAGCTCTCTGTTTGATTGGAGAAAGGTTCCGATAGACTCATTGAAAGGATAGCTGGTAGCCAATGCGTTAAAGAAATACAAAAAACTGTACTCGCAAGTACAACTCAGACATTACGAAGAGCATTATCTATGTAAAATGTGTGTGATTTCACGCTTCGCTTCTTTTACAAAAATGTTCAGTGGAAGATGTCATGAAGCCATTTCTGAACTTAAGTTTCTGGTTGAGACCCTGACGGAAATGAGTATATAATATAGATCAAAAAGAAATAATAATAATAATAAGTAAATACAAATATCTGGCGATGGAAATAGAAAAATATGACATTCAAAAACTGAAGCTGTTCTTGTGGTTGGAGCTTTGGGTCTGATAAAGAAAAGAAATCCTTGGTGTAGCATCTCCCCAGGAAATCCTGTAAAATCCTTCATGTAGCATCTCTCCAGGAAATTCAACAAAATCCTTGGTGTAGTATTAGGTTGGTGCAAAAATAATGACGTAAGAATGTCGTTTTTTGACGTAGAAAATTACGTCAAAAAACGACATTATTACGTCATTATTTTTGCACCAACCTAATATATCTCCAGGAAATCCAACACATATTCCGTGAAGAGCATTGTCCCATTATTGTTAATAGTTGTCTTTTGTTTAATTGAGAGAAAACAACAAAAAAATCACATCCTTCAACTGCCGTATGTCATTGGTCATTACCCAGTATGTCATTACAAAATAAATACAGATAAAAAATAATTTTTCTTATACTACTACCTCAAGCACCACCACCATTACTACTACTAATAGTAATAGTAAGGTCAAGAAAAAGAAAAAGAAACAGAAACAATAATTTCGATGATAATTACTAGAAGAGAACAAAAGCAGGTAAAAAGCAAGGAAAGAAAAGAAGGAAACAAGAAAGAAGGAAGGTAAGGAAATAGAATAAAAAGAGAAATGAAGG